AGCCAACCACCCCCTGGCCACCCCCTTTCTGGGCCATTTGGGCATAAAATTTAATGCATATAATATTGGCTAATGATGTTTGCAGTTGCGGGGCTTAGGCGAGCATTAACTTGGCCAAGTCCAGAACACCTGCTGTCCCCTATCTTGCGTTTTCCACTCTTCTCCATTTTAGCGTTACTCTGTGGGCCTGTTTCTTATATAAGTCAGTGAGGCAATTAAGTCTGCCGAGGAGTCGAAGACTCGGCCATGTTAATTGAATCACAGTTTAGAGTTGGACCAGATAAACAAGGCTAAAAATAAACTGGTGGATATTCATGGGGCGGAACAAAATAAAAAGGAATTTAAAGCTGGCGCTTGTGTTTTCAATTGCAAACGTCGTAAAATTAGTTAATTAACGTTTAAGGATAGCTTAAAGGTATATTTAAGCTATTGAGACAACATTATTTATAGAAACTCCGCACTGAAACTCCAATAAAAAGTGAATATCTTCCAAATAAAGATGTGTAGATTTAAAGAGAAAATAAAATGCAAATTTAAGTTTTGCGATATAACAATTTATTTAACACAGCAGTGCCTAGCACCCTTGAGTATTTTGCATATATTTTGGCTAAACTTTGATGTCATCACAGCAATAGATCCTTAAACTCACTCATATGATCTCGAGCAAAACTCCTGCATGCCATAAAACGTTGTTGGCCAACATTAGCCATTGTTCCATGGCCAAACAATTTCAAACTCATTAAAAATTGATTGGCAACCCACACTCATACCCACACACTCATACACTTACACACCACGCACACCTACATAAATCTAATTGGAGAGTTTATGGCCGGCAGTTTTGATGTCCTGCCCAGAGGGACAGGGACAGGAAATCATGGGAAGCGAGACGGGGAGAGAAGGTGGGACAGTTGACCAGGGAGCAATTCCGCTGCATGTTTGATGAATCCACGCTGACAACTCGCACACACATGTCAACATGCAGGATGTGACCGGGGTGTGACATAATTAAACGCCAGAATCCTGGCTGCCAGCTAATGAGCAGGAGAAAGGGATGCCGCATGGCGGGAGCGAGACAGATGCTGCTCATTTTTTGGAAGTAGGTTAATGTGAAATTATGACAGCGAGTTCGGGGCTGCTCTGGGCATGCATTTTAAATGCGTTCATTAATACACAATACGGCTCGTTTCAAGGAGGAATCACGCAGGACTCGTTGGGATCGACGAGCAGGATCTAGGAGCAGCACATGTTCGGCCCTAATGACAGGAAATTGTGCGGTCAGTCAGGCAGATGGACAAACAAGAACCACAGCAACAAATCATTATGGCCACAAAATCATCATCGCTCCGACCATTGGCAACTGGTTGTGCAAATTCAATTGCCTGACAGCAAGCACATCGCTTTGCATCTGCATTTGCATAATTGGCAGCCAAAAAACTTCGAACCTCGAGTGGCAAGGAGCAGAAGCAATTAAGAGTCAAGCCAGACAATTGCATCATTCGTCTTCCGCAGCCATTTGTCCGTTTCACGCACAGGATATGGGGACCTGGTAGCAGCAGGACGCAGGACGCAGGACTAGGGACGCTGGACACTGGATACTGAATAGTGGACATCGAGCATGGGCTCCGGACAGTCGCAAACACATTTAGTAAATTAAAAGGGAATTTATTGCACACTAAATGCAGCCATTGCCGTGTGCATCCTGTCAGCCTGGCCCTGCCCGCCTCCCTGCCGATTCCAACCAACCTGGCAGGACCTGCCAAATGCCCTCGAGTGCGAGTGTTTGCTTGTCCGCTTAGCCCGGTTTGCTTAATCTTTGACAACCAGCCAGAGGTCGTTGCCTCGGTTTCAGTTTCCACCACGCCGGCAATCAGAGCAAACAATGCACGGCTCGGCACCAGGGATTCCGGATTCTGCAAGTTGCATGGTTCATGGGGCACGGTGCACGGTGGACGCCAAATGGAGCCAGCTAGGACATGCGGATATGCTGGGGCAGCAACAACAAGCAGCTGGCAAAAACAAATGCAGCAGCTGGGTTCAAAGGACGTCCCGCTCACAGGTCGACTAATTAATTATATCATTAGGGTCGCCGGCGGTGGTAAGAGGGCAGAAATCATTATACACAAGTGCGCAGCAATGTTGCGGTAATGAAGATTAAGAATACAAATTTAAGATCCATAAAATTAGCAGTCAGTGCTATCCATGTGCACTTTACCCGGATTGCAATTACTCGGGATAGGAAATCAGCATAATGGCGAACACATATCATTAAGTTTCTGTATTGGATGTGCATTTTATGGGTCCTTTTCCTCCATCGAAAATAAATTACTTAATATAATACATTATTATTATTATATATTTGGCTTACCGTTCTGAAACGGTCTTCTAAATACAAGATTTTTATTACTAGAAAAGGTTTAAGCCTTGAATTATACACAGACCCAAAGGAAATCCAGTCGGACAACTGAGCTCCGTGGATTTATACGATGCTCAATTCAGCCAAGCAAACAGCATAAAAACCGAGCTAATTTGGCACAATTTAAGCATGTGTGCAGTCGCTAAACTTGGGGGTTATTTCTTATCCAATGGAGTGCCATAAAAAGCCGAGGCAGCCCAGAAGTGCACTCGCCGGCAAAATAAATTGGTAATTGCATGCGGCAAGGCAAGCATTTAATGAAACGAAACAGGACATGCAAATGGCAATCCCAGATCCCCATTCCATTTCCACCGCCCCCAACCCGGCAACATAATGAATAGGATTTTGGGTTTCTGCGGCGAGAGAAACAGCCGGGAAAACATCGGGACATGAGCTCCTTTTGCTGGGCCAACACTGCAATTTGCACCACAGCCAAAAAAGGATATGCAAAGCGATACGAGGATGGTGCATCAGCTTGGCGCAGGAGCAGGAGCAGGAGCAGTTGCCTCATGGCAACAGATGTTGCATCTTTGTTGAAAAGCAGCCAATTTGGAGCGCACCGAAGCCGAAGATAGACATGGCAGAGTGACAAAAATTTAATATGAAAACCCGGGCTTGGGAAGCAGACGCTGCGAAAGACAAAAAAAATGGGAAAACACAAGTGAAAAAGGAAAATACAACGAAAAGCGCCGGCGAGAGCGAAATAAACGGCAAAATAATCGGCGCACAATGCATTGGCAATGAGCCAGCGGCTGGGCTGTGCTGTGCTGGGCTGGGAAAATGGGCGGAAAAGCGGTTGGAAAAGCGGTTGGAAAAGCCCCCGCTGTCTGTGTTTGCTATCGATGAAATTGTGGTCGCGACACGGACGGGCGATAAAGCCGCTTGCCGGACGACCAGCCATGAAAGGGGCGTTACAAATGAGGACAGAACAGGTGGAGTTTTGCAGCAGGGTACTGTAGGTCACGGCAGGACATGTAAAAATTAATTAAGCCCGCCCACGTTCACGAAACTAATTGAGAATATAAAGCAAATTGCCCGACCATTCGGCACGAGTCGAAATTCAATTTGGATGGGCTCCGCTGAACCAGTTTCTGGATCCCAGCCCTTTCTACTGGCTTTGTCTCCTCAAATGTCCACACAAAACTTTCAATTACAGCCTAGTGTCAAAGATCAACAAACAAACAGCCGCTGAGATGCCATGGCGATGGCGATGGCGATGGCTGTGGGACGGAGATGGGGTCCTTTGCTGGAAAACCGATGCCCGAGGCAAACATTTCAATTTGCCTGCCAGCTGACAAAAGCCAAACAACGCCGTGGAAAAAAAAGGATGGCAAAATCGAGTGTGGATTGGCCCACAAATCGGACAAATAGCGGAAAAAATACTGCCAGCAAAACTGAAGCGCTGCATCAGCCTTTTCATATCCTGTGCGAACGGATGTGACAGTGATCGCCAAATGGCGACTGGCGAATGCAACTGGATGCCCAAAGCCCGGCGCACCGACATCGGCGGTAAGGATTAGGCCAGTTTCCAGTTGCATCTCTCCAAGCGGGACTATCGATGCCTGGGGCGGAATATTAGTTTACAGCGCTATATTTAGACATGGCCGAAATTCCAGAGCGTTTTGCACGGCAGCAGCTGCAGGCGGGCAATCAAAATGGCTAAAAAACCTATTCGAATGGCAGTAGCCATATTTGTTTACCCCCGCATTGTGGCATGTGTGAGCTATTATGGCCAAGTGAACAAACTGTGGCCCAAACATGGCCAAAACCAAAACAATGAATGCCAAAGCCCCAGCGGTTGCAGAATAAATCCCATTTTACCCTGGACTCAAGCTTTCAATGGAATACAATGGCAACTGACAAACATTTTATTTATTGCCGTTACCGACTAAAAATATGATTCTATTACTTAGCTACTAATAAGTGTGAGTCGTTGAAAAGAATGCCTAATGCTGCTAGACATTTCCCAATTTATAAACCTATATCTTTAATCAGAAGCACATTATACCCAAAATCACATGTCACACGAAATATTTGAACCCAAAATAGCTTCAACTAAACACAGAAACAAGTGACAAGCCGCACACCACACAGAGGGTAGCAACTGATCCATGAGTTGGCCAATCAACATTTAATATTCACATTTTCCAATATTTACATGTTGGTCATTTTAAAGTGCAACAATATTTGTATAATATAAAACTTTTTTGCGTGCCGCATTTTGATTTACAACAGCATCAAAATAAACACAAATAAGGGCCCACAAAATATTGGCGTGCGCGGATATCGGGCTATATTGGTATATATTGGTTATGGCAAAGGGCTGATTCAGCACAGATTTATTTTCCTTTCGGTGCAATATGCATGCGTGGCAGCAGTTTTTGTGCGAGCAGCCAAATCAGTTTATTGGCGCATAAAATTGAATTAAAACGCGGTTAAAATGGGGCAGGCGACCACGGGGCGTATGAGCAATCCTGATACCAGCAACTTGGCCTTTAAGAAAACGCTTATCTATCTTGCTGGCTAAAACTCATTAAGGTGGTCAAAGGACAAAGGACGAGCCAGAACAAAGCACATTCCACTCACATTTTATGGCTTTTGCGTTTAATTAAAATCCACTGACAAGTTTGCATACATCTCTGTTGGCACAAGTGTACACATTTCGTATGCCAGTTCACCAGTAGAGCAGCAGCAAATAAAATGGGCCCAGACTGAGCAGCATCAGCGGTATCATCATAAGGCCAAAAAGACGCCAGTTCTGTAGGAGATCATGGGATTAGGTAGGTACTTTCCCAGCTTTCTTGGTGCCATTGCAAGGATATTGTAATTATGTTCTTTTGCAAGTTCCTAGCTAGAAGCTGCTCATGGAGCACTTACATAGTGCAACTGCCTGGACACCCGCTCCTCCATGTCCAGGCGACGACGGCAGATGGGGCAGCGCTTGGCCACCCAGTTGCGGGCTTCCCTGTACAGTGCCAAGCAGCTTTTGCAGAACGCGTGGTTGCAGTGCAGCTTCTCCGGAATCTGTATGCGATCCAGGCAAAAGGCACACAAATCCGGCTCCCCATCCCGATCCGCATCGAAAGGCGGCGAAACATCGCCGCTCTCGCTGGACGAGTCGCTCTGCAGACCACCGTTCGCCGTAGCGAGGCCCTGCTGTACCATTATCTATGCCAGGTCCTCTGTATGTTATGTCTTTGTATGTATGCGTTGCGCTCGTGTAATAGTGGTGGTGTCGTGTCTGGGTGTTCTGTTTCCAATTTATCTATGTGACTTCAGTTGGGTGGATATTTTTGTGGAACTAAAAATTTTGATAACGCCCCCTGCTCCCAACGGAAAATGGAGTGACAGGTGGGGAAAAGCGGACCACGCCGCCACGATTAAACTTTAATTAAAAGGAACGACGATAAATCTGACCGGAAAACACCTTAAGCTTCCTCACCGGCCAATAAAATTTAATTATATCAACGCCGAGCGGCAGGCATCGAATGCAATTAGTAGTCGACTTGTACAACTCAATTAGAAGCGAGTCTGGGCGGGATGGGATGAGATGGGATGCTATGGTATGGGATGGTATGGGAACTGAGCTGAAGTGGAAGCCATGTGTCGCGTGGCTCGGCTCATCCTTTGGCTGATTTTTGCGGAGGACAACGCTTTGCACTTTGGGGCAAACGACCGCAGACGCAGACGACAAAAATCGAACTTTGCAACTACTTGCAAGGAGCGAGGAGCGAAATGACAAGACGCCGTCGATTACTCCAACAGGGTTTTTAATTAAGCCCGGCACTAAAAGTCACATCAGTCGAGGACAAGAAGCCCATCTGTCGCCGGACGAAGGACGAAGGACGAAGGACGAGGGACGTCCAACAAGCAGCTGACAAATTGAATCACTGGCGTCAGTTGCTCTGCAATTTAACAGTCGGTAACAAGCACATATTATTAACGCCGGCCAATTAGGTGGCCATATAAACCAACTATCCGGCATTTGCATCCTCAACTTGATTAAAAAGTTGCAAGTTCCAGTTGGCAGTCGCCATTGAAGCCATCTTGATTGTTTATTGTTCGGTGGGGAAAAGTTTTGCTTGGCAAATTGTTAAATTCTCAACTCGAATTAATTTGCCAGAGTTTCTTTAATTATGTTTATAGATGCCCGAGCAATTGTTAAGACACATCTCCAGCCCCTCCAGCCAGACCCCACTTACCAACTTTCCCCATTTCCTGATGCTCCACTTCTGCGAGCAGGTACTCAAATCCATACAGTCGGTCGGAAAAGTCAGAAAAGGCGGAAAATGCGGAAAAGGCGGAAAAGTCGGGAAAGACGCTCAAAGACAAACGGCATCAATCTGGAAAACTTAGCAATGGGGCGGACTCTGAACTTTATCTTTGGATTCGTTTTGTTATTATTTGCCCAAAGAATTAAAAGGAAATCAAGGCAAATGTTGGTGGAAGAAACGTAAAAGATTCCAAAGGAGCAGAACTTTTAAAATAAATACTACATGTTAACTGTGATGAAAATTTGTCAACTCTTTGTCAATGAAAATTTTTTGCCAATAAAAGATCTAAAAGTATTGATAGGTACTTTTGAATAGATTATTTATACATAAGCAAAGCAATTCAAGTTTCTAAGGTACTTACAACACATTTAATGGCAACTGATATACAACTAAAACTTAAATGGGCAAAACTGAAGCCACTTAACAAGAAAACCCAATAAGCCCAAAGGGTAGTAATAAAATAAAATAACCACAAAACCACCTAAACTCAGAGCAATTCCCGCACAGTCATTCCTGAGAACCCGAACTTAATTAGAGCTGAGTAGAAATCTGACAAGTCTCCGTACTGATTTAATACTTGCAAAACTGCTCGCTTTTTGTTCCCCCATTTTGGGGTAACTCCTTTGGGCAATAGTACCCCCGGGTTTCCGCTAGATGACGCTGCACTCGCTGCCTTTGCTACTCTCGCTAATGAGCTTTGTTACCGGAAACGCGGACCGACAGCAAAACACAGCAGAGCTGAGCTCATTTATGGTAAGCTTTTTGTGCATTTAGACCGCAAAACAAGGACACCACCGACCGACAAACAACTGTATCTCTGACTTAATGGGTTAACGTGACACCGAATGAATCATGGAGTCGAGCTGGGGCCCAACTGGCATTAGTGGGTTAATGTTTTAGCAGCGGAACGAGCACGAGAACGGGAACGGAAACGGAACGGAAACGGAAACGGACGCGGATGTTGCCTGTCCAGATTTCCGCCTCGAGGCGATTTCGCTGGCAATATTCTCTAATTTAATGAGGGCCTGCTTATTTTGCAATTAGCCAAAGTTGCGCACCTTGTGCCTGAAACTAAATGTAGCTGCGACTAATTAGCAGAAACGCTAGTAAATTGAAGTGAATTATGAAAATTGCATTTGCAGGTGTTGCAAATGAAACGGCGTCTCAGTGCGCAGGATGCGGAGATCTTATGCCGGCATTGAGTGGCCTTATTTTGGCATATAATGGCAGGAGCTCCGAGCAGGAGCTGCAGCAGCAGTTGTAAAAGCCTCAGACAATGGGCACAAAAGGCCATTTACTCGCTTTTGGGCGTGTACCGAGGCCTTCACCCACTTCATGTTACCCGGCACCACCATTGCATTGCAACTCACTTCACCTGGCCACCTGGCCACCACCACCTCATCCACCTTCATACGTACATGCAGGTGAATGCAGTGCATCCGCCCGACCGCCGCCCACTTGTCTTTTTGTGCGCCCCTCAAGAAAGAGCGGTAATTCAGCTAAAATGCACTCAGGTCGGCTTTGTTAACCCGGCTCACAGTTGCTGTTGTTGCGGCTGGGAAGGTCCTTGCTGCTGCTGCTGCTGCTGCTGCGGAATAATTGGAAAGTAGGTTGCACATTTAGTTGCATTGTCTGCGGCATCACATGGCTGCCCGCCCATATCCATATGCATGCCCATATCTATACCCTACACACCCGTAACCATTACCAAATTCCCATGGAAGGCGACCCAGTTACCATAAATCAACTGGCCGATGGCGAGCAATTTGTCGGTCGATTTGCAACATTAACAGCCCAGGCCTTCTCATAAATTAAGTTAATATTTTTGCATCTTGGCCCCGAGAGCGGGTAGCCAAGTGGAAAGCCTGTGATATCAACGACTCGTTCGACAATTCAATTGAAAAACTGGCAAATACATTGCCGATGGCCCGAACTAAAAGATTGTTGACAGCTCGTTACAGCAACTGCAGCAACAACAACAGACTTTTGGGCAATGAAAACTATGCAAATGACATGCAATGGCTGGGAAAACTTTGAAAAGCTAGCACAGACCGGGAAAACTGCAGGGGACGGTGGCGGTTGAAAAGTCGGAGGAAAGGCCTTAGGATAACTGAGGACCGAGCGATGGAAGTCTGCGCTATATAGTATACACATCTATATGTATGTATATGTTTATCTAGTTTTTGGGCGAATTGCATTATGCAAAGTTGAGCGATTTGGGATTGCTTTAATAGATAAGCAATATGCTGGGCCGGGTTGGCTTGTTTTTGGTTTTGGTGAGCATATATGTAAATGGGGATTTATGTATCCATACGTACGTACACTCGTATCTGTGCGATAAACGGCACAAATTAGAGTGCCGGAGGGAAAAGCGGAGACGGCAAATCATCGGTGGCAGATTGCTCTGAGGGAAACCGGAAAATTGCTCGAAAATGCCTTTAAGATACAGGATATATTTCCGGGCTCTATCCAGCAAGCATGGGACTTAATTGTGAAGCAAAATAATGGTAAGATGAACAATTTGATGCCGCGAAATCTTGCAGGCCAGACACGATTTGCTAAAAATTCATCATATCCTTTATATTATTCATATTTAAGTTCTTCCTCCGCCGTCCTTTTGAGGGTTCTCCCACGCCCACTACAAACTTTAATCATGAAACAAGAAGAAACCACGAAACAGTACCCAACACTTTCAGCAACTTGAGGACGGAACAGGACGAAACAGGACTTCTGTGGACATTCTCGCTGAGCTGCAGCACCAACACCACTCAACGCTGCATTAATTCCTACCTTTTATAATGCAAAAATGGAAGAAATAAGGTGCACTTACCCCGCCTCAACCCACCTAGTCCTGCTCCTTGGAAAACGGAGCAAAGGAAGCATAAAGCAAAGCAAATTCCAAGCATGCCATGGAGATGGCGACTACGTCGAGGACTTGCACTCAACAAGGACGACCATGACGACAGCGACGACGACGAGGACGAGGACGTCAAGAGCAGTCCGAAATATTAAAAAAAGGACCCCGCTCACACAGTGAAAATGGTACGTAGCCAGCGCTTTTTGTTCGGGGGAAAAACAAAGGCCCATCGCCGGACTTTGGTTGTTGAAAAAGCGTTGCTTAAAGTAAAGTTGCTCCCCCTAATTGTGAAAATGAGCCAGTGTGGAGCTTACGAAATTGAGTGCCTGGTGGCGTACTTATCCCCGCTACTGTATACGCTCCCAGTAAAATCAACAAGCAACAACAATTGCCATTGCACTTCAGTAGCAAGCACTAAGTTCACTTTATTATTGCAAACTCGGCGAAGTCACTTCCTTTGGCTTTCTCACTTTACCACACATTTTTATTTTGACTTTTAGTTCCCGTCTTCTGTATGCTGCACCAGCATTTTCCCCAAGCATTTTTCCAAGCACATATTTATTTTCTAATGGTACAGGTGTGCGTAATGGAAAACGGCTTAAAACGCATAGTAAATTATCTGCTAATGAGATCGGAACTCGCATCTCTGAATGCAAAAGCAATTTTCCCCAGCACAAATACGACACTGGGAAAGCTTCTAAGCTGAAGTGCTTGGCCAAGGATAAGACGAGATGCTGTCAAAAATTCAATATGTCAGTCGAGTGTATTTGCAATCATAACACACGCAGTCGAGAAATGCAATTTGTACAGGACCCTTCAAGCCAAAGGACTTGCATGCACACACATGCTGCGAAAATTAGTTCAATCTCCAGTGAAGAGTTTTGATATTTATGCATTTGCACACGGATATCGATATGTCATGGCCCTTGATTGGGAGCATTAGAGATATAACTGACACAGAATAAGCCAGGTTGCGTTTTCGCATTCGTGCATTGCAATTTGCCAGATAAATACTGTGAAATCTCTGGAGAAGAGCTCTTGATTACTCGGAGATCGCTTTTAACCAAGGCACTGAAGTGTGATTGCCTAATTAAGATGAAATCTAAGAAAATCATCCAAATTTAATAGCTAGAGCTCGATGGAATAATGTGCTGCATCAGCAGACTCAATGGTTCGTGTGCATATGCACATTACGTA